CCGTCACATTGACTTTTTTGCCTAGTTATATGAAATTGATGTAAATGATGGATGGATAATTTTTTTAAAAAGTGGGTCTTTTATTTCTAGATGAGCAACTTGTAACCGGAAGCAAATATTGGTGATTGGCAATTTAATTAATTCTTGCACACAGTAATGGCTTAAGGTTCTCAAATTTTGTAATCTAAATAAAAGAAGATTATCTATTTAAATTCAGATATTTAAATAGAGGATGTTAAGTTGTTGAGCATATGGATAACATGTGTGAATTTGAAGATATTCTCCTGGAAATGGATCTTATTTTATGACCTGAAGGGACCGTCATTTTCTGAGATGAAATGGACGCATTGAACGAGGTCAGTGAAATTGCCGAAGGCATGCAATCGAAGACAAAAATGATGGATCATGAGGATGGGCATGTAGTACCCGAAAAATTACTTATTGTTGTCAAATAGTATTGGGTTGCTAACAGCATATCCAAAGCCAAATGAAAGTATCAGTATTTCATCCAATATACAAGTGAACTCACAATACAATCAGTATTTGTTAGAAGATACGTATTTAGTCATTGAAGTCGAATGAACTCCGTGTGTATCGACTTGTACTCTAAATGAGAGCCTTCGAAGATAGTTCAAGTGGTCCATGACTATCTTTTTTGATTGGTCATTTATATTTGTACTGTTCAATCAATCTAATATCTACTCAAATGTTTGAAGCAAAGCAAATAACAAGACCTTCTTGGATACACGTCAATTGCAGCAAGTGATATTTTCTCGGGATTTTAGGGGAGCAGGGCGAGGGGCTAGAATCTTTGGGAGCCCAAACTTTGTATTAAAAAAAAAATAATAATAATAATAATAATAATAATAAAATAAATTAAGATAAAAAAAAGATTATGAAAATTAATATTTTAGTTTGACAACAATAAAGCGAGTTGAGATCTGTTGTCCAACTTTTGTTGTCCACCTAATTTATTGTTGGCAAGTCATTTTAAATTAACATATCATCAATTTTAATCTTCCACTTTAACAATTATTTGACACTGTTAAATGCTCTCTCACACAAAATGAAAGTGGTCATTTTTGAAGTCATTCACATGTCAAGGCCTAGATTCAAGTAATAGAAAGATTAAATGATTTATATTTTTCAATTAAAGGCGCGTTTTGAGATTTTGAGTACATATTAGTGAGGTAATGACTTAGTTACTATCAATTCTATTTTCAAAATTCAGGAGCATTAGGAAAACCCTCAACATATTGACATTGATTATAAGAGCTTTCAAGAACTCTGCAAATTTAATTTCTCCCGAAGTCTTTCTTCTAACATAAAGTCTAGTCTAAGTTGTAAGTTAAGAATTTGAATGCCGTCTCTTCAACAAATTTTTGACACTAGTATCTCAATTCTTCTTAAAAAATAAAAAATAAAATTCCTAACACATTTTTGACACAATACATTAACATTTTCTCATTTATCATAAAATGTGATGCACTAAATATATTGAAAATGACAGACAACGAGACAACAAATTTGTAGCAGCATTTCTCAAGTCCCAAAATTTAAACTTGTAATTTATTTTTCTTAAACGTATTACAGAATGTTCATACTTTCAAGTGATGACACTATAAGTAATAATGGACTTATTTTCAATTAATCTTATTTGGCCCTTGTTTGATGGGAATTAAAATTAAATTTTCAATAAAATTTGATAAAAGTAGATGAAATATGTGATTGAAAAGTTGTCGATCTTATGAAATATTTAATTAAAATTAAATTTTGACTTTGATTGAAATTAATTTACTAAAATATAAGATCACAATCTTCTTTTTGTAAAAATGGTTGATTACTTGGTCTATGTTTGCAAAGGCTGCGTTAGGGGAACCAAAAATAAATAAATAAAACAACTTTCTACTGAACTGACACATAGAAAAAAAAATTGTTGACAATAAGATTATATTGTGGGACCAAAATTTTATTGTTTATTAGCAAAAATATTAACGTTTTAAATAAATATTTGACCAGGAGCTATAGCTGAAAACATTACTTGCAATTAGTGAATATCTCGAGAAAATAAAAAATTTAAATTAGAACCCATCTTACCTATAAAAAATACTTAAGTAGACCCACAAGGAATTAAAATTTGCACCAAGAGTAAAAAGGTGTTTTTAACTCTTGGATAATAAAAATTGAGAAATTAAGCTTGTTGGTTTACAAATATAATTGTTTGTGAAAAATTTGCAATCATTCAGGATCATTGACAAGTAATAAATACGAAGAGTTAAAAGTATCATCTTGTAGAAAATAAATTTCAATTTAAATTTATTAATCTTGTATTGAATTCGAAGTATGTCACACAAAACATAATTGATTTTGTTATTTATTCTAAATTAATCTAAGACTTATGTAAAATGAGGATTTGTATCAAATTATGAATAATTATATGGGGATTTCGAATCTGCCTATTTTTATCTATTCCAATTTTTAATTATGTAATCTAATTTCATTTATGCATTCTTGACAATCAATGAAGTTAAGGTATGTAACTTTCTTTTTCAAGATAAATTAATTATATTCTAATCACGATCTAAGTCTATTTGTAGTACGAATTCAAATTATTAAAATGCATTAAATTTTAAATTATTTATATGATTGCATATGTGATATTTTTATTCATAATATCTATTGCCCATGTGTAAACCTTACCGCTTTCTAAACTTATTGTAAATCTCCCAACACTGCAACAAGTAACTAGTTATTTGATTGGTGATCAAACAATTAAATAATGAAATAAGAGTGTAAAATTACTCAAGAGATGCATGAAATACTAATTACTAGTCTTGAATTAAAATAAATAAACAATAAGGTTCATATTCATCCAATACAAAAATGGAACTAGCCTAATATGATTTTTTATGAATTACAAGAAGAATCATAAAAAAATATCGCTTGGATCATTAAATAATGCAAAAGATATTGTTCTTTAAGTCCAAAGTTGAAAATTTCAATTTCTTGATATAATTGAAATTCAATTCTTGCTAGATTTTAATTCTCTCTCAAAATATAGCAATTTACCTCTTGCTCTTGATGAATTTGATGATATAATTTTGCATTAAGAGAGTAGAGAGACTATCAAATGTTTTGCCCAAGTTTGGTATTTATAGGAGTAAAAAATGGGGACAAAATCACGATAAATCAAAATTAAACGGCAATTTCAAGTCAAACAAGAATTTACAGACTTGGTCCCCCAATTTGTGCTAAGTGCACACCAACCTATGATCTACATGCTCGCCATAAGCATTGTTGGCTCGGAGAATGTCAATGAGTCGAGCCGAAACTCAAGGCTCTGGCTTGACTCGAGTAAAATCAAAGGAGCTTTTTCGAGCCCGAGGTAGCCGTCAGCTACCTTTGTTCTAATTTTTTTTTTTTTTTTTTTAATTAAGGCCTGAGCCAATTGACATCCCTAGTTGGCTCCCTGCTACAAATGCACTGACATTTTTTCTGTGCTTACACCTATTACTTTCATTTTAGTGCATTTCAATCACTGTTTTATTCCAATATACATTTTTAATTTTCTTTTTTTTTTTTTGTTTGATTTTGATCCTTCATATTTCAATTACTTCCAACTTATTTTTGTTATGAGGTCCAAATAGGAAATGTGCAATTTGGTCCCAAAACTTTGGATTAAGTCTATTTTCTCTCGTTTTTCGCCCCTCCTGTCCAATTCACCCAACTTGCATCAAGTTTTACCTAACAAACATAACTAAGACATAATTAAGCTATAAATCATACAAATCAACAATAAATATCATAGTTGTTATGACAAGTGTACAAAATATACTTATCAATAATCAAATTCAAAATTTAATAGGTGGATAAGGAAAAAATTTATCATGATTTTCCAAATAAAAATATTAAAACAACAATTCCAAATGATATGCATTTGTATATAAGCATGTATTATCATAATATTTGGAAATTATATGACATTGTTGTTAGTGAAAGAATAATGTCCCGCTCGGTGTTGCCCTTTTTTTATGGATTTCAATTTAAATCGTATCGAGAAATCAATGCAGATTCCCATCAATACATAATCCTGGAATTTTATAAAATTTTCAAGCGTGCTCAAGCTCCATTTTTTGAAAGAATGATTGTTGTAATAATAATTTTTTTTGAGAATGTATGGCAAAATTTTGAGTTTACGTGTAAAATTATTTTATTGAAAGAATGAATGATTAATGAATTTTTACCTAATGAGACTCAAACAAGGGGTTTCATTTAACAAGAGACTAAGATTGTATTTGCTTACAAGTATGAAATTCGTATAGAAAGAAAATAAGTTTTAGACAATTGAATTCAATTGTCTAGAACTTATCTCTATTAAAATTGTCAATTAAATGTATTTGATTGACTTACTTTTCAAACCAGAACTTGTTGTACATTTTTATAAAGTGAGTTATTGGGATGTGTGGATTGTTTAGAAAATAAAAACTTAAATTTAGAAAGAAAATATTTTCCTTCTTTTTTAGGAAAACATGCATGTAACAAACGTTTAAAAAAATATTTTCCATAAAAAAAATTAATAAAAAAAAAAACCAAACATCCCAAAAATAGAAACTTAATTGAAAAATGACATTTTCCATAAAAAATAAAACCAATCAAATACATCCTAAATGTTCATGAAATTTTCACTAGCAATTACTCCATTTAGAGAATTCAACAAGAGCTTGATCCTCCACGGAGGTCAAGTATCATGCTATTATTTTACATGCGAAGAGCTTTATTAAGGAACTTGGTGGAACTCTCAACTCTCCTCCTACCACTTCCTCTTTTATTTAGTTATTTATTTTAAAAACTCATCACTTTACTGACAAAATTACTATTTACCATTTCCAATTCACCCTATAATATCTTCAATAATACAGATTTAAGTTAATCAATTATCAATTGCACTATTTTATAGACTCGTAACTGCTTCAAAAAAGTTTTCAAGATAGGCAATATACCTTCACTAGCCTGACGGGCGGTGTGAGATTCAATGTTGAGTTTGAGAAATGAGT